TCAAAAAACCAATGGTTTTTCAACAAAAAAATGTCAAAATCTCATCCCGCGCGCTCTTGCGGATTCGTAGGAAACCCAACACTTTTTAAACATTTCTGTCAAACGGGCTTTTGCGAGCAACTTTTTCGAACTTCTGCGACAACGGTTGCGCACCTGCCAGGGCCATCATCCCTGTCAAATAATACCATGCGGGACACATTCGTTTTTTCTTCGCGCGCGCACGCCGAAATCTCCAAAAACCATTGGGCTTCTTAAGAATTTTAGCACCGCGCATCATAAAATCACACGAATCGCACCGTAGGTCCTCGAAAAACACCTGCACGACTTTTCAAAATTTCTACCCGCGCGCGCTGTCCGAATCCTAAAAAAACCAATGGTTTTCCAACATTTATGTTACATGAGCTCGCGCGAGCTACTTTCGCACGCTCTTCCTCCTCCTCCGGCGGGGGGCGTGAGGATCCGGCATCGCTCACAACCATCGGGACAACCATCGGGACAACCATCGGAACAACCATCGGGACAACCATCGGGACAATCATCGGGACAGTCATCGGGACAACGATCGGGACAAGCACAACCATCAGGACAACCATCGGGACAATCATCGGGACAACGATCGGGACAACCACAACCATCAGGACAACCATCGGGACAACCATCGAGACAACCATCGGGACAACCATATCCTCTCTCTCTTGTGTATTCCCACATCCCTCAGGAATTTGCCCTAAAGATGTGATCAACTATCTTGTGAGTACGTATCATGTGTATCATGTGTATCATGTACCATATGCATCATATGCAACAGATGTTCTGTGGAAGGCTTAACAACTTCTGTGGGTTAACAAGGCTTAACAACTTCTGTGGGTGTACGAACGTAGGCTTAACAACTTCTGTGGGTGTGTACTCCACGCCAGTGTAGTAGCCACGGTCGTCCGCAGGCCACGAAGTGAAGTGTCCGAACGTCATAGGGCGGGAAGCTGGGTGTGGGTGGTGGCGAAGAGTCGTGTGGATATTTGGTAGAGCTTGCACTGCCCCCCCACAAAGTGGGGGTATTGGCTGGCGTCGCATGAAAACCCTGGCACTGGTGAGAACACTGAGCGTTCGGGTAAAGTGATTGTTGTTGTTGTTGTTGTTGCTGCTGTTGTTGTTGAACTCTCACTTCTGAAGAATAATTATTGTTGATCCCCCCCACTGGTGCAGACTGTTTTTTCTCAATCAAAGTGTGCCCCTCGACGCTCGCACCCTGTTTTTTGACAGGGAAAGTCTTGATGCTCAAACTGGGCCCCTGGCCCCCAGGTTACAACAACAACGGCTCCCGCCTGAGACTTCGTCACAATTTAGCCAGGACCCCCGCTCCCGCCCGAGACTTTTCACATTTTAGTCAGGAATCGCGCTCTCGCTTTGGATTTCCTTACAATTTATTCAGGAATCGCTCTCCCGGCGCTCTGGAGTCGCGCTCTCGCTGGAGACTTGCTGACGAATAGCGCCCTTGTGCTGGAACTCTTGCAATTTACTCAAGCGCCGCGCTCCCGATACTCAGGCACCCAGGAGTCGCGCTCACGCTTAGGACTCTCGCAGATTTCCTGGGAATCGGGATCTCGCTGCCCTTCGTGGCCCCGTTGCAGCCCTTCGTGGCCCCCTCGCTTTGTTTCGTGGCCCCGTTGCAGCCCTTCGTGGCCCCCTACTTTGTTTTGTGGCCTCGTTGCAGCCCCTCGTGGCCTCCTCGATGCCCTTCGTGGCCCCGTTGCAGCCCTTCGTGGCCCCCTGACTTTGTTTTGTGACCCCCTCGCAGCCTTGCGTGGCCCCTTCGCAGCCCTTTTGTGGCCCCGTTGCAGCCCTTCGTGGCCCCGTTGCAGCCTTTCGTGGCCCCGTCACTCCCCTTCGTGGCCCCGTTGCAGCCACTCGTGGCCCCCTCGCTGCCCGTCGTGGCCCTATATATATATATATATATATATATATATATATATATGTATGCCCTTCGTGGCCACCGCTCGTTCGCGCCCTTGGTGGCCCCATATGCGTGCCCTTCGTGGCCCCGCTGTCGCCCCCTCGCTGCCCTTCGTGGCCCCGTTGTTGCCCTCAGTGGCCCCGTCCTTGCCCTCCGAGGCCCAACATATGTATTCCCTTCGTGGCCCCCGCTCGTTCTCGCCCGTTGTGGCCCCATGTGCATGCCCTTCGTCGCCCCGCTGTCGCCGTTTGTGGCCCCCTCACTGTCCTACGTGGCCCAGTTGATACCCTCAGTGGCCCCATCGTTGCCTTCTGTGGCCCAGCATTATCTGCCCTTCGTGGCCCCGGCTCGTTCGCGCTCTTCGTGGCCCCATACGCATTCCCTTCGTGTCCCCGCTGTCGGCCTTCGTGGCCTACTCCGTGTTCGTGGCCATGCTGTCGTTGTCGCTTGCTCTCGCTTTCGCTCGTCGTCGCCGTCGTCGTCGCCGTCGTCGTCGACGTCGTCGTCGTCGTGGTCGGTCCCCTGTCCGTCCCTCTTGGGGTCGGGTCGACGGTCCGCGGCCGCCCCGCCGATCAGCACTGCCGCTGGCAAGGCCGAGCCGCCCCGCCGCTTGCCGGGGCCCGGCCTGCAGGGAAGAAAGGTATACCCCCCAAAAGGGGTTCGATCGAAGACGAAGAGGGCAGGTATGGGGGGTTGGGAAGTACGAGTTATTGGACACACGATCAGGTAAGGGCGAACAGTCTTAAAATGATTGTTGTTGTTGATGTTGATGTTGTTGTTGATGTTGTTGTTGATGTTATAATATGGAGGCCAACAGCGCAGTTTGAGCTTAGTGACTTTCCCTGATACAAAACACGGTGCGGGCCCGGAGGGAAGCACTTCAATGGACACAAACAATGGTCACCGGAAGGGGGGTCAGTAATACGCATTCATTATTGAATCGTGCGCGTTCAACAACACCAACAACAGCAACAACAACAACAGTAACAATACCGCAGCAACAATCCGCACCGCGGAGCCCCACTTCAGCCACGCATTCGGGGAAAGTGAATGGCCCTTCGGTTCTTCCGCTCTGACTTCCCACTCCATGCTGGTAGCGCCCCCCCTAGGCCACCACCTGTCAAGGCTGCCTACGATCCGAATCTGTGCGATTCGATTCGTCCGCCGAGGCTGCGATTCCGATTCGATCCGATCTGGCTTGGTTCGACGGCGTCGGCCAGGGCCAGCCGGGTCCAGGCGCGGCGACCCGACTTTGGTTCGATTCGGGGCGGTTTTCGCTGGCGACCCGACCCGGTGCCGATATTCGACCCGATCCGTGTTGGGCCTGCCTTTCTGGCCGTCCTGCAGGCTGCGGGGTAGGCCAGTGGAGGGCGGCGGCGATGGCGGCGGCAGGCCTGGGCGCCTGGCGCGCGCTCGCCAGGAGGTCCAGGCAGTCCGGAGCCAGGCCCGGAGGGCAGCACATGATACAGTGGCTTGGCATCGCTCGGACGTGTGCATTTTTTCCTTCGGCGAGGACCATCGAAGAGCATCCTTGATCACTTGGCGAAACAACCACGCACGAAACCGAAAAAAAAGCACAGGGAATGGACGTCCGAGCGATGCCCAGGTGAAGGCCAGTCCACGAGCAGCCTTCCTTCCACAAGAAGCCCAACCCCGAGAGACCCCGGGGCGTCCATGGATTTCTGTTGGGCGTGGGGGCGCCACGTTGTCCACGGCAAGACCGTCGAAACCCGAGAAACCCAGGGCACCCTGGAGGAAGCAGGGTGTTTCTTCCTCCTCCTCCTCCTCCTCCTCCTCCTCCTCCTCCTCCTCCTCCTCCTACCCATCCTCCCCCTCCTCCACCTCCTCCTCCTCCTCCTCCTCCTCCCCCTCCTCCTCCTCCTCCTCCTCCTCCTCCTCCTCCTCCTCCTCCTTCGGGGGCGCCCGAACCGCGTGGAGACCACCCCGCGTGGCGAGGGCGTGGGGGTTTTCGGGGTCACCGCACGGTTTTTTGAGGGGGGGGGCTCGGGCCGTTCTCCGGGGGCGCCTCGGCACGAGCGCAGCGGGCACGGGAAGAACTGGAGGCGTAGGCCGTCGAGGAGGAGGAGGAGGAGGAGGAGGAGGAGGAGGAGGAGGAGGAGGAGGAGGAGGAGGAGGAGGAGGAGAGGGAGCAGGAGGAGGAGGAGGAGGAGAAGGAGGAGGAGGAGGAGGAAGAGGAGGGGGAGCAGGAGGTTCAGGAGGAGGAGGCGGATCGGGTAGGAAGAGTGTTCTTCCTCTGCTCTTCCTCCTCTGCTGGTCGCAGTTCCTGCCCATTTTGAACAAGACTCGCTGTCGGTGTTGCTGCAGGCGGTGTCCGTTCGAGACCAAGGGGCGCCTGCCCAACAGCGGCCGCTGTCGGTCGGTTTGGGACGGCGATTCGTTGTTGGGCATCGTGCCCACGTTTTCCTCAGGCAGTCTGGGCCCAGGTTCAGAGGGCAACGCGTGACATGTTCTTGATCACAAAGCGGATCGGGCGTCGCTTGACAGTTCCGATTCTCAGTCACATTTGAGGAGGATGTGGAGTCGGTCTCGAGGAAGCCTCCAGTCTGGAGACGTCTGGAGGGCATTCGGAGATCGAACTCGGCCAACTCAGAGTCCATCGGTGCCTCGAGTTGGTGGGATGTTCTCTCCCTCAGCCGTCCTTCCCCTGGGGGGGGGCGCCCTTGGCCGTTATCCACATGTGGGCCATCTCCTGAACACTCAGCCTGCCAGATAGAGAGAGGGCTGACTATCAGGGCGGCGTCGGTGTTCGAGCACGCATCATCTGGGCGAGTTCTCACACTGTCTAGGCGTTTTTGTTTGCTTTCAGCGCGGGCACATTTCCAGCCGCTCCGTGTTTGAAGGTCAAATCACATTTTCTCACTGTTCAATTTTTTCCCCAGGGTTTTTGTCATTCGCCATACCCGAAGATGAGGGTCCTGTCATTCCTCATTACCTAGGGTGGGGTCTTGTTCTGTAATCAGATCTCCGCGTCGAGTAATTATTGTGCCCCGGAAGGCGTAGACTCCAGGTCCCCCGCGCGGTGTCCACCATGGACGCGCCAACGAAGGAGGTGGAGGAATTCAATTACAAGATAGACCTTGAGGGTTTGGTGAGCCTCTGCAAGCGAAGGGGGTTCATATTTCAGAGTGGCGAGATCTACGGTGGCTACGCTGGTTTCTTCGACTACGGTCCGTTGGGCGTGGAGCTGAAGAACAACCTTAAAAGGTTCCAATTCAAAGAAATATCCTTGTGGAGAGATCAGCCTTTCCAGTTTCTGGCATATTCCGTTGGAGGTAGGCGTGCGTCCGCTTCAGATGCCTCCAGTTACCCGTGTAATGCGGGAGATTCCTCCCGCCATCCCCCCGCGCCCAGGATTTGGAAAGGACCTCCAGTAATGCATGTCAGTCAGTCTGCAGGTGCTGGTGGCAGAGAATGGTCTACGGGCGCGACAATGTCGTCGGGCTCGACAGTTCCATCATCACCAATCCTAAGGTGCACCAGGCATCTGGCCATGTGGCCAATTTCTCTGACCCCATGGTGGACTGCACCAAGAGCAAGCAGAGGTTCCGTGCAGATCAACTGATGTGGGCGAGAGTGGAGTTGGAAGACGGCACCCTGTTGGGTTGCGTCTCGGCGGTCGAGGACGGCGACACCAAGGCCAAGTTGGAGAAGGCGGCGAAGAAACTCATGAAGAAAAGTGGGTCGGACGCGGCGCTGAAGCCGCTGGAGATGAAGGACATGACAGAGGCCACAGAGGAGGATGTGCCGCTGGTGCCGTCGCCCGCCACAGGCGAGCCCGGCTCTCTGACCGGGGCGCGGGCGTTCAACCTTATGTTTCAGACCCAGGTGGGCCCCTACGCAGACTCTGGCTCCACCAGTTACTTGAGGCCAGAGACTGCGCAGGGCATCTTCTCCAATTATAAGAACGTGGCCACCGTCTCGCGTATGAAAATCCCGTTCGGCATTGCGCAGATCGGGAAGGCGTTCCGCAACGAAATCACCCCACGGCAGTTCCTGTTTCGATCCAGGGAGTTCGAGCAGATGGAGATTGAGTACTTCATCGACGAAGAGGCGGATTTCGCTGCCGAGCAGGAGGCCTGGCTGCAGGAGATGTGGGACTTCCTCAAGGGTGTTGGGCTCGACGAGCGGCTGATGGAGCGAGAGGTGCACGTCGGAGACAAGCTCGCCCATTACGCCCGCGCTTGCACCGACATCACCTTTCGGTACCCTTTCGGTAGCTCGGAGCTTCTCGGTGTGGCTGCTCGGGGCTGTTACGACCTGACTCAGCACGCAAACGCCAGCAAGCAGAAAATGGAGTACCAGGTCCCTCCCCCCGACAAGAAGCGCCAGTTTGTGCCGCACGTCATCGAGCCCTCCCTGGGCGTTGACCGGCTCTTCCTCGCGCTGCTCTGTAGCGCCTACGACGAGGACGAGGTGGACGGGGAGAAGCGGTCGTTGCTTCGGTTTGCGCCGTGCGTGGCGCCGATCACGTGCGCCATCTTCCCTCTGATGAAGAAGCCACCAGAGCTAGTCCAGAAGGCCCAGGAACTGGCCGCGAAGCTCCGCCGCAAGGGCTACAACGTCGTCTACGACGACGCGGGCTCCATTGGCAAACGCTACCGGCGCATGGATGAGGTCGGCACGCCCTTCTGCTGCACCGTGGACTTCGACACGCTCGAGGACGATACCGTAACTCTCCGGAGGCGGGACGACCCTTTGGCGGTTGTCCGGCATCGCCGAGACGAGATACCAGGCATCTTGGACGTCGAGTGTGAGGTTCCCATGCCTCCCATCTAGGGCACCGCGACATTTTCGGGCATCGCATGATTTTCGGTTCGCCTTTTCTGCCCCACGTCACTTGCTCCACCAATGGCTGCAAATCCGCAAAAATCGGCATATCAAGGAAGATGGTCCCAGTCGCAATATGTTTTAGAATGTTGTTCGCAAACATGCCGCGTCCAAAATCATACGTCTGCGCGTCGATATGCGAGGGTTACCCACCCATTCCAACCTTCACGCATCACCAACGTAACTTCTTAGTAAGGACATTATGGCGACCAGCGACGGCGCGATCTGATTCTGATTGGACGATGCATCCCAGGTTCTAGATTTTAGAAGCCCCTTGAGGTGCGAGTCGCATCGTATTGTGTCGGAGAGGAGGCAATGCGGCAGGATGTCAGGACTAGTTCATGGGGTGAGGCAAGAGCTGCAACGCCTGTGCCTTGAAAAACGAAGGACCGTGCAGCGCCCGCATCTACAGGTGAGCTCGCTGGCCATGCCAGAACGATCGGTCCAGCTTCCTCGCGCTTGGATAAGGGAATCATTGGGGAAAGCGGTGTCCCGAATGATGGATGAATCGAGTAGGGGATCGACTACTGGATTGATTTACCCCAAACTTGGTTCGTTTGTCGAATGGGCAAGCCAGACGTATATGTTCGTACATCTACAGAGAATCCAACATGCTTGTCGCAGATTCGACGCAGATTCGACGAAAAATGGATTCGGTTGTAAATCAACTCTGTAGTCGATTTCCCTACTCGAATGCAGTTGCTGAATGCAGTTGGTTCATGGTCGGCGACCAGAGGCACAGGACACTCGTTGGCGTTGCTGCTTCCGGCGCTGCGGCGACTCACATGTTCGGCTCATCACGGAGTGGTCCTGAGGAGGGCCTGCGAGGTCCGCAGCACCGGGGGAGAGGGCGTTCGCAGTTGCACAGTCAAGGATCATTGGCAACCCATGAGACTTCGAGGATGGCGAGCACAGCTGGCATGCTTTACCCCCGCCCCTTCGCACGCGATTGCGAATCTGTTTCCAGCTGGAACTACTCTTGGGTCGTCCTCTCGCTTTTCGAACCGATCATTGTGATGGGGGCTTCTGGGTTTGCTGGTGGCAGCAGAGGACGCGCGTCCTTTCTATGCCGTGTTAAAGGGACTCTTCGCATGACTCGTTGTCTCCCAGTGGCTTCATCTCCCCCGCTCGTGCTCATGTCACCCTTGGTTTGGGAGCTGTGGTCCTCTACTCGGAGATACCCGAGTCGACGCCCATAGGAGCCATCGCCCACACCCTCGTCACCCTGGCGCTGTAGACTCACGAGCATCATGGCTCTGGTTTCTCGCGCCAGCGCTCCGGTTTTTCAGGCTGACGCTGCAGACCTTGTACGCTTTCGTTTGCTGACTGTTGATGCTTCGCGTATCCCCACCAGCTGCAGTCCACCCCCCCGGCGCAGCTCAGCCCCGGCGCGGCTGCTTCCCTCGGCGGTAGGGCTTGCCTGTTCGGCGCGCGCGCCGGCAATTAGGTTGCTCGTAGCCCGAGCTAACTCTGCTGACACCGTCGGCGCCTTCGCCCGCGGCCGCGACGACAAACAAATCCCCACCAGCCCATCCAGAAGCGATGCCCAGGCGAGTTGCCTTGATCAGATATGTGTAACAGCAAGCAGCGAAACAAAGAGGCGGGACAGCCCAGGACCAGCCTGAACAAACCCAGGAGTCAACCATAACCATAAATGGTTTCTCCAATGTTTCGATCTGTGAGCCTCTTGGAAGATCTTTGGGCCGTCTCTCGGCCTTCTGCGAGCCTTTCGGGAGGCATTTGAGGCTATCTTGTGGCCCTTCTGGGGCACTCTTGGGACCATCTTGGGCGACATCGATCAACAAAAAGGGGGCCCAGTTAATGTGCCCTCCGCAGTCAACAACGCCTCTTGGGGCCCTCTTGTTACGCTCTGGGGGTGTCTTGGGTCTTGGGGCCGTTTTAGCGCCCTTATGCCCCCCCTCTCTCTCTCTTGGGCTATCTTAGAGCCATGTTGAGGCCGCGAAGCCCATCCGAAGCGAAAAGACAAGAAGACCCACATCATTCAACCATTCTAATGCTGTGGTGGTTCGAGCATCTCGGGGGCGTCTTTGAGAGGCTCCAGGGCCAGTTTGAGCCGCCCTGGGGCCTCTTGGAGGCATGCTGGACGCCATCTTGAACACTATTGGATTATCGAAGACGCCTACGGCGAATCACCGCCGCCCCCTGCCTTTGTGGAAGCGCCTGTGGCCGAACGTTGAGGCCAGACCTGCCAAGCTATCGGACCATTCCACCGCGCCCTCCAGACCCGCCGCCGCCTGTCTCAGGCGGGCGGCCGCGCGCCCCGTGGCGGGCCCCGACGAGCTGCTCGCCGCGAGCGCCGTCGTCCCCGTTGGTCACCCAAAGGGAGGTGACTGCGCCCCTCTCTTCCAAGGGACCATTCGGGGCTGGGGAACGACCGGCGCCGACAGGCAGCTGCCGTTGCCGCCGTCCTGGATTGCCTTTGGCACGCCAGTCTGGACGGACGCGGGCCCCCCGTCATGAGCCGAGTGAGGCCCGCGCGGGCAGGCCCCGGAGCTGCTGGGGGGCCGCGCGCGAACCCTACCCCTACCCCCCCACGACTTCGGATCGGGGGAGGGCGGGGCTCACTTCGCTCTCCCTCCCCCGTCAGAAGCCGTGGGGGGTAGGGGTAGGGACCGCATGTGGCCCCCCAGCTGCGGCGCGCGTTCGCGCGCGCGGCTCTGGCGGAGACTCACGCGCGCCTTTTCCCGTCGACCCGGCGCCGCGAGTCGTCGCCGGCGTTCGCGTCCCTCCGCGGGGGGGCGGGCCCCCGGGAGCCTCTCGATTGGCGCGCCCTCGAGGCGGCGGAGGCCTCGGCGCGGTCGTGGCCTTCGCGACCGCGCGCGAGGACGTCGCCGTCATCTCGGGGATCCAGTGCGACGGGCGCGGGGCGCGTCTGCCTCCGTTCTACGCCTCCGGGCGCGAGTGGGCCGCGGGCGGCGCGTGCATCCGCGCGTCGGCCCAGCAGCGTGCCGGCTTCGCAGTGGGCCCGATTATGCGGCGCGCGCGACCTCGGCGTCTTGTGCCGCCGACGCCGCCGCCGCTTCGGCGGCCGGCGCCCCCGCTGCTTCGTCTGTTCTGCCCGCCCTTTCTGCCTTTGCTCGCGCGCGCTCTGCGCGCTTCGCTGCCGCTATAGCGACCGCCAGGTCGTTGCTCTTCGCGTGGTTGGCCCCTTCTGCGCGAGCAGCTCAGACTGCGACCGCCCGCCAGAACCTTGTCACTGCGCAAGAGCCTTGAGCCTGGGCACGACTGCCGGTGACCCCCGGCGCCCAGGAGATCTTTCTCTCTTGGGCGGCGCCGCTCGTCCCGCGCGCGCGGGGGCCCGCCCACTCCGGGCCCCCCTCGCGCGCGTCAGCCGCGGCCTCCGCCTGGGCGTCGATCGCGCGGGAGATCGCTTTCTCTTCTTCCCCCTCTTACGCACGTTCCCCGGTGCTCTGCAGCATCTCGGCCCCCCACCCTTTCTCCCCCCCCTTCCTCTTCCGAGGCCAGCCGCACTGGTGCCGGTGGCCCTCGTCGGCACCCGGCTCCTTCCCTCCTGGGCGGCGCCGCTCGGCCCGCGCGCGCGCTCGGGGGCCCGCCCCGGCCCCCCCTCGCGCGAATCGGCCCGGGCCTCCATGCGAGCACCGACCGCTAGCGCGGAAGCGGGATAGGACTTACCAATGCGGAACACGAATCAAATGCCCCACGGGAGCGCCACGAGCTGTATCTCTCACCCCCGCCACTCCTCCATGCACGTGGCGTCTGGAACTCAGCGTAGGCAGAGGTCGCCATCGGATGAAATATCGTTCAAAAACCAACACAGGCGTCAGCAGCGCGACGTGCGCGAGGCACACCACGCATGCCAGGAGCGCTGCGCGCGTCAATTGCGACACGTCCACCATTGGCCTCAGCGTGCCAGGCGCGGTTGGTGCGCCCGATGCGCCATGTGTTCCACGTGCACCACGCGCGCCACTTGGACGGGCCGCGACATGTGCGCCAGTTACGCGCACAGGATTGGTCCAGTGCCGGTGCGCTAATGCACGTGGCAGCACTTATTTGGCACGATGCCGACACCCCGTCCGTTCGTGCTACACAAGCAAAACGAAGGACCCGACCAGATGCAGCTGCGAGTACCGCGAGACAGGTGTAAACTAATGGAAAGGGCTCGCAAACGGACTAAAGCTTGCGTGAGAAGGACGGAACGACGTTGATAATGGAATCGCAGGGATCGGCCGTAATGGTTTGCTGAACCCGCACGGTAGATATGGGTTTCTATCGGCGCTGCCGTGGGGAACAGCAGCCGGCGGCGCCTTCGGTGGAGTTCCCTGTACGGCCACGAAAACTTTGCCGAAATTAGCGCGGACGCGAATGCGACTCCTGCCACTAGGGCCTTCGTTGGAGTTCCCTGTGGGACCACGAAGCGTGTGAGGGATGCGCCGAAATTGGCGCGGTCTCGCATGCGATTCCTGCCGTTGGAGCTGTCGGTGGAGTTCCCATGTGGCCACGAAGCTTGTGAGTGGTATATCCAAATAGGTGTTGTCATGCATGTGAGTCCTGCCTCTCGTGCCAGAGCTCCCGGTGGGGCCACGAGAAGTGCGAGGGGTGTGCCGAAATTCGCGCGGTCACGCATGCAATTCCTGCCACCAGGGCCTTCGGTGGAGTTCCTGATGGGGCCACGAATCGTGTGAGAGGGGCGCGCCGAAATGCGAGCGGTCACGCATGCGATTACTCTGGCCACTGGGACCTTCGGTGGAGCTCCCATATGTGGCCACCGAGCGTTTGAGGGGTGTGTCGACATGGTGCAGAGAAGACATGCGAGCGCTGGCACCGAGACCTTCGGTGGAGGTCCCTTTTGGACCGCGAAACGTGTGAGAGGTCTGCCACAATGGTGATGACGACAAGAATGATGCTGACAAGGGTGGCTATGATGACGACAATGATGATGATGCTGATGCTGATGATGATGATGATGATGATGATGATGATGATGATGATGATGATGATGGTGGTGATGTTGATGCTGATGCTGATGCTGATGAAAATGGTGGTGGTGCTGATGAGGTTACTGCTGATGAGTGTGATTGTAACGACGTTGATGGCGATGATGATGCTGATGCTGATGATGGTGGTGATGATGATGATGTCGATGTTGACGACGCTGGTGATGATGATGGTGATGACGACGACGACGGTGATGATGATGACGATGATGATGGTGATGGCGATGACGATGATGATGACGGCGACGATGATGATGATGATAATGATGATGGTGGCAGTGATGATGATAATGATGATATTATGAATGGTCAGGATGATAATGATACTAACAATGATGACGATGATGATGATGGTGATGGTGGTGATGATGATACTGACGTTGGGAATGGTCATGGACATGGTGTTCGTGGTGATGATGGTGGTGGCGCTGATTACGCTGATGATGATCAACAACATGATGATGCCGATGATGACGATGATGATGATGATGATGATGATGCTGATGGTGATGATGATGATGATGGCGACGGTGGTGGTGGTGCTGATGGTGAAGGTGATGGCGAAGGTGATGGTGATGATGATGATGCTGATGGTGATGATGCTGATGGTGGATGTGACGCTGATACCCACAATGATGATGGCATTGATGATGATGGTAACAATTGTGATGATGATGTTGATGGTGATGGTGATGATGATGCGTATGCTGCTGATGATGATGTTGATGATGATGATGATGATGATGATGATGCTGATGCTGATGCTGATGATGATGCTGCTGATGATGATAATGCTGATGCTGATGCTGATGATGATGTTGATGATGATGATGATGGTGGTGGTGATGCTGATGATGATGATGATGCTGATGATGATGATGATGATGATGATGATGATGATGATGATGATGATGATGTGAGTGTGGTGGTGGTGGTGGTGGTGGTGGTGGTGGTGGTGGTGGTGGTGGTGGTGGTGGTGGTGGGTGGTGGTGATGCGCGGAAAGCAGGAGAGAGGAGGGGGAGGAGGAGGGAATGAGAGAATGCGGGGCACTTCTTCTTCAAAACAAGGACCCAACACCACAGGATGATTGTAAACACCGTTGCAAAGCGAGGGCGGTGTTGTTAGCATGATGAAAGGTTTGCGCACCCGCACCGTCTTTGAATTGTTTTTCACCCGGATGGTGGGATAGCGCACAGCGGACAAATATGTTGGCACTCTTGCCACCCCTGACAAAAACCCATTCAAAGTACTCGTTGGAGTTCCGCTCGGGATCCCGAGTTTGCCGCCGCGCGCAAATTTGATTACGTTTTGACAAGGCTGGTGATGGGGGACCATGGATCCCGTTTGGTGGTCGGTCCAGCGGGTGAACGGGGTATTTATCTCCCCGAAGAGGATTGGGATTGGAAGAGAAGATGTTCTAGACCACGTCCGCCGAGAGGGCTGGTGGGGTTTCTGGTTGGGCGGATTGGACGTTCAGATCTAGCCTAAGGGGTTTTGAAAGTGCCCAGGGAAGAGTCAGGGCACGCAGAGCTTCGCAGGGCCACCTTGGGTGTCCAGTCAGCCGGCAGGTACCAGGCCAAGTCCCAAGAGAAGTACGGCTGCAAGATCGGCAATACGAACCACTGACCACATGCCGAGCGCTTGCTCGACCGATAGCCCGGCCGATTGTCTGAAGGAGGCCAAGGGCACGGGAAACTTGTCGGGGCAGACGGCCCTTGACATTGACAGATTCTGGCCAGCTTCACCGGACCCCCCCCCAGAGGAACGCAAAGCATCCCAATTGCAATAGAAAAAGTTTCACGCCGAAGTACGAGGACGAGAAATGTGCCATGCAGAAGTACGAAGTACAGAAAGTCACGCATCCGAAGTGTGAGAATCGTGTGTGAGAGATACGTGTGTCATACTTCTTTCGCACTTCGTACTTGTTTATACTTGTGCCGCACTATTCCATACATTGATCTGTTTTGTTGCACTTTGGATGTGCGCCTATACTTGTTTCGCCCTTGCTTCATACCTGTACTTCCGCGTTGCACATACTTCACGCTTGCGTTTCGCGGACCTCGCCTGGCTCGGTCTTTCGATCCGTACTTATGTTCCACTCGTGCCATCGTGTCATACGCGTATGTGCACTGTTTCCATGTTTTCGGGGATGGACAGACCTCCCTTTAGTAAAACGTGGTTTAGTGAAAACGCTTTCGGGCCCAATCCTGGCGGGCGCAAGCCTGGAAAATAACGGCCACGGCGCCCTCTCGAAAACCGAAAACGGACAATTCAATAATCGACGTGTCACTGTTGGGGGTTCTGTCCACCCCCGATGTTTCTTTGTTGTGGCAAGATCGAGGATCTCCCTGTCTAGCCGGCCTCGAGACTCAGAACTTTGGCATCCTCGCGGGGCCGTCCGCCGCGACATCTCCCCCCTTTTGCGAAACAAGCAATCCCCGGTGGCGGGCACAATCGAGCCCGATCATCAGGTCGACCCTACATAATCAAGGGCACCTTTTATCAGAAGAAAGACAGCGCACCCCAACTGCGGGCCCCTAGAATATACACCATCACCGTCATCCCCCCTCTCCTCCTCCAGCCTCCTCTTCCTGTCCTCGCTCGTGGGAGAGCGAGGGGGTAAGGGAGGCGGTGGTGGTGTATATTTCTTGGGTCCCGTATCAGCCCCCACCTGGCCCTCCTTCTACTCCCGCTGGGGCCCGGCCAGGGACTCTCGAACCCCGACTGTGGAAATTCCGCAAAAGCGGCAAAACAAATACACCCGACCCCCACCTGGCCCCAGCCCTCTTGGGGAGGGGGGTCAGTTGGGGGTGCTCTTTTCCTCCCCTATACGTGTGTCCTGTCAATCGCGTATCGTTTTACGCCCCATGTCTGGAGCAACGGCGAGCGCATTGATGCGACGGCGCTGTGCGAGCCATCAGCCATGGCGACATCCTCTCGTCGTCCCCCTCCCTCCCTCCCCTCATCCCTAACTCCACCTCTCGCATCCCGCCCATCCCTCTGACATTCCCCCATCCCCTCTCCCTCTGCCACTCTCCCCCCCACCCTCCGCCTCCCCCCCCCTTCTCTCTCCCCTGTCTCCCCCGCCCTCCCCCCCCGCCCCCTCCCCTCTCCCCCTCCCTCCCCCTCCCCCCTCCCCCCCCCTCCGGCGCCGCTCCTGCTCCTCTCCCGAGCCCCGGCGCTTTGGCCTCGCGCCGCGCGCCCTGCCCCTCTACCGAGCCCGGCGCCCCCGCGCGCCCCGCGCATGCGGGCGCACGGGCCCCGCCGGCCGCGGCCCGTCTCGCCGCGCCCGCGGGCGGGGCCGCCGCGGGCGCCGGCGCCACCATGGAGCTGCTCGCGAGCGTCGGCATGGCCGCCAAGGAGCGGCGGCAGACGGGAGCAGCCGGCTCCTCAAGAGCTTGTGCTGAAGGGGTCTTCGCGGAAGTGGAAGGATTTGGCGAGAGTACCCAACCGATTTTGGTGGCAGGCTGGGTTCCCAGGTTCCCGCGTCCGGGTTCCCGGGGTCCAGGTTATTGGTTCCGGGCCGATTTCGGTGGGTTTTGGGTTCCCGGGCTCCCGGGTTCCCGGTCGATCTCCTCAGGGAAAACCATCCACTGATTGGGGTTTTGCTCTGGTGTACTTGGAGATGGGGTCGGCGTAGATGGGGTCGGAGGATCGCGCCGCATCGCCGATGCTTCGGCGATGCGGCTCGATGTGGAGCCCGATTTGCTCCACGCCGACGTCGCCGATGCACCCCAACGTCGCCGATACATCGCCGATGCGTCGGCGATGGGGCGCGATCCTTCGGCCCCATCTGCTCGGTTCCCATCTAGGAGGCTTCTAGGGTTAAGTCGTGCATGCCCCTCTACAGGAGGAGTATTCAAGAACGATAAAACAAATAGTCAGGGGACTTCATTTTGCTGGTTAAATCATGCTGTTTTGTTAGTGTTGTGTTTCTTGTTTTGCCTACCTGTTTGTTATATATATATATATATATATATATATATATATATGGTCGCCCCCCCCTCAGCACCCCCAAACCACCAAAACCACAAAATCTTCACTGGTCGTTTCTCCTCGTCGCTCTCCTCCTCAAACCACAAAATCTTCACTGATCGTTTCTCCTCGTCGCTCTCCTCCTCCTCCTCCTCCTCCTCCTCCTCCTCCTCCTCCTCCCCCTCCTTCTCCTCCCCTCCTCCTCCTCCTCCTCCTCCTCCTCCTCCTCCTCCTCCTCCTCTCCTTCCCTGCGTCTCCCAAGCCAAGGAAACCTAAAATGCATTGTGTATGGCGCCGTCGGTGCAAGGAAATGCTGTGTTTTTTTTGGTCTGAGAAGCAAGGAAACGCTGTGTATGTTTTTTTTTGTTTGTTTTTTTTTGTTTTGGTTTAGCAAGCCCGAATGCCCGCGCTGGCCTCCCTCTCAGCACCCTTCCATGCGCCTCAGACCAAGAAAACAAAACATACACAGTGTTTGGCGCCCTCGGTGCAAGGAAACGCTGTTTTTTTTGTTTTTTTTTGGGGGGGGGGGTGGTTTGAGAATGAAGGAAACCTTGTGCATTTTTGTTTGTTTGTTTTTTTGTTTGTTTTGGAAGCCCCGACGCTCGCACCAGCCTCCCTCCCAGCACCCTTAGAGCTTGCAAAACCAAAAAAAAAAAAAACATACACAAGGTTTCCTTGATTCTCAAACCAAGAAAACCAAAAAACAAAAATACACAGCGTTTCCTTGCACCGAGGGCGCCAAACACTGTGTATTTTTTGTTTTCTTGGTCTGAGGCGCATGGAAGGGTGCTGAGAGGGAGGCCAGCGCGGGCATTCGGGCTTGCTAAACCAAAAAAAACATACACAGCGTTTCCTTGCTTCTCAGACCAAAAAAACAAAACAACAACAAACATACACAGCATTTCCTTGCACCGACGGCGCCATACACAATGCATTTTAGGTTTCCTTGGCTTGGGAGACGCAGGGAAGGAGGAGGAGGAGGAGGAGGAAGAGGAGGAGGAGGAGGAAGAGGAGGAGGAGGAGGAGGAGAAGGAGGGGAGGAGAGAGGAGGAGGAGGAGGAGGAGGAGGAGGAGAGGAGAGCGACGAGGAAACGATCAGTGAAGATTTTGTGGTTTGAGGAGGAGGAGGAGGAGATAAGATAAGGAGATAAGGAGATCAGGATGAGGAGAGGAGGACGATGAGAAGGACGACGAAGATGAGGAGGATGCACCCCCCCCCTCCCCAGTCCGTCGTTTGGGGGTGCTGGGGGGGGGGGGGGCAAGCATATATATATATATATATGTATATATATATATATATATATATATATATATATGACTACTTTCAGCTTTTCTTCCAAATCCTCCACAATCCGCTTGTAGGGGGACATGCCCGACCTAACAGTAGGGGGGTCACCAGCTCCTCCCAGAGATCGAGGTGCGGGGGATCGAAGCTCGAGGGAACTACTGGGCGTCTGGGTTCGTCCTTAGATGGCTCTGGAGGGTTCCTGGGGCACTGCTGGCAGGTTCGCGTCGTGCCGACCGGCGGCGACCCCCGCGCGTGCGTGTGAGGTGGAACGCTGCCCGTGGCCCAGGATCGACCCGTCGTTGAGCGATCCGGTGTCGATGGAACGGCCGATCGTTCAAGTTGGAACGATCCCCGCGGTGTCAGGAACCAACGCCAGGGTCGACACGACTCGAACCCGCCGTGTTTCTTCTCAGAAATTGCGCTTTCTCTGGGAAGCGGCGATCCTCATGGTGGTGACCCCTCCGTGGAATTGCCCCAGCAGAGTCGGGTATAGCCAGGACTTCTGGTAAGGGGACCCAGTTAGTGGTAGTGCCCCAGAGCTCCTAAATAATCACTAGACCAGGTCTGCCGTAGCTGGTGTTTATTTCGGGTAACGGCAGTTCCGCTTAGTGGAACGGGGCGGGGGGGGGGCGTCGCCCAGTACAAATCATTAACCAGGTCCCATTCAACCCAGTTCTGCCAACGCCTGACAGACAGCGGCACCCTGCAGACCTGTGCAGAGCGGCCAGGGACATTTTAGGGCGGGGGGCGTAAGCTAACGGATGCGGCGGCGATGTCCATGGCCAGGCCTCACTTGGCGTTCCATCGGCTGTGAGACCCTGGAGTCCTTATCCAAGGGTTCCTTATCCAATGCCCTCGCCGTATCCAGGTCAGGTCAGGTCAAAAGCCGTGCATCGGTGAGGCCTCGCCGTATCCAGGTCAGGTCAGTCCAGATGTCAGAGGCAGAGGGATCACTATGGGACCCATGCTCGGCGGAGTGCCTGCCCGTGGATACTGAAACCTTCCAGGCCGCGAGCGTGAGAAGCCGAACAACAAAACAGAAAGCACCACGATCGTGACGCAGAAGCGCGGAGCGCATCACGACTGCGCTCGGCCATCGCTCAGGATGCCGTGTGTCAGCTGTCTGTGCTTGGCCCCCAGAGGAGATGTTCGAGTACAATCGCGCAATGTACTCGTTCGACCAGACCCAGAGACTGGAGAGGGAGCTGCTGCGCTTGGAAATGCAGATCAAGCGCTTCGAGCTCTTCCGAGAGGACATCCGGGATCTAGTCGAGCTCACGGTGGGGAAGATGGAGATGTACCACCTGGTCGGCGCTCTCTTTCTTGAGTTCTGTGCGACGATGTATGTGGAGGCCCGGATTCAGAAGAACAAAGCGCCGCCTTTTCTGCTGTCCCTGTATTGGCTCAGCGTCGCGGGCGCCTGGATCTACCTGATGCTTGCTGTCATTCTCAGCCTGTACGCCTCCATCCGTGGAAGCAAAAGCGGCATACGCATAAACGTTCCGCGCGCTCCGGCGCCGCCCCTGGCGCGCTCCGCGCTCCAGGGATCGCGAGGGCCCCCGAGCGCTGTGGAAAGTGTATGTTGGTGCCGCTGTTCCTTCCTCCCTCCCATCTCCGCCCACGCCTTCGGCGTGCGGCTGCTCACGCGGTTTGTGCGCCTGCCCATCCCCGGCGCGCGGCAGATGGACTCGCTGAACGCGAAGTTCTCCGACCTCGAGCGACAGGGGCTCGGCAACGTGATGCGCGTGCCCTTCGTGCAGGGCGCGCAGCAGTGGAAGCAGCGGGTCGCGGAGGGGCCCGCGGTCGAGGACCCGGGAGCCCCGAGCGCTGGCGGAGGGCCCCGAGCAGAAGCCTGCAGAGGAGAGCCGGCTGCGGCAGCGGCAGTGGCCTCTCCCGGGAGGGCCTCGTCGCCACGGCTGGGCGCAGCTTGCCAAACTGGTGCGGTGGGATCGCGGGAGGGGTTCGGGGGCCGATTTCGAGCTGTTGTCGTCTCGAGCCGCCCTGCTCCGAGGCCCTGGATCGCCGGTGCCCTCGGCGCAGCAGGCGCTCGTGAGCAGCAGGGGTGCCCTGACCAGCCCAGTGAGAGGTGACGGGCCAATGTTCCGCCACCGCTACCATGGGTGGGACGGGGGAGATGGGGAGCTCCTCCTCCTCTTCCTCCTCCTCCTCCTCCCCCTCCTCCTCCTCCCCCTCCTCCTCGCCTCCTCCTTCTCCTCCTCCTCCTCCTCCTCCTCCTCCTCCTCCTCCGTCCTCTCCTACCTACTGAAGGATTTGCCGGGTGCACGCACTTGCACGCAGGAGCGGCGGTGGCGGTGTTGGCGGGGGAGACGCAGTTCCAAATCCCGCTGAAGGATTTGGCACACCTCCCGCACTTGCACGCTGGGGTGGCGGTGGCGGTGTTGGGGGGGGAAGCGCACTTCCAAATCCCCCGCACTTGCGCGCAGGGGCGGTGGTTGCGGTGTTGGTGGGGGAGACGCAGTTCCAAATCTCCCGCACTTGCACGCATGGGCGGCGGTGGCGGCGTTGGTGGTGGGGGCGACGCAATTTGACTCCCGCTGAAGAAGTTGGCACACCTCCCGCACTTGCACGCAGGGGCGGCGGTGGCGGTGTTGAAGGGGAAACGCAGTTCCAAATCCCGCTGAAGGATTTGACACACCGCCTTCCCTTGCACGTAGAGGCGGCGGTGGCGGTGCTGGTGGGGGAGACGCAATAATAAATCCCTCGCACCTGCAAGCAGGGGCGGCGGTGGCAGTGCTGAAGGGGGAAAAGCAGTTCGAAATCCCGCGAAGGATGTGGCACACCTCCCGCACTTGCACGCAGGGGCGGCGGCGGCGGTGTTGGTGGGGGAGTCGCAGTTCCAAAACCCGAAGGATTTGGTACGCAGCCCGCACTTGCACGCATGGGCGGCGGTGGCGGTGTTGGTGTGGGGGACGCAGTTACAAATCCCGTGCGGTGTAGGAACATCGGCCCATCAAGAGGGGGGGTCGATCTGGGCTTGGTGGGGTGCCCTCCTCGAGGGCAGCATCCCTGACCAGGTCTGGGGAGAGCCCAGCCTCTTGGTCTGGTTGGGGGTTGTGTTGCCCCCCCCTGCCCTGGCCTCCAGAGGACCTGCGCCAGGCCGGGAGCGCCGTCGCCGTGAAGCCGAAGGATCAGCACGACCGAAACGGGTCGACTGCACGTGAGAGTGACCCTTCGCCAGAGTGACCTTTGGTGCGGGCTCTCATCGGGGCTCCAGGGACGGGGGTCACTGCAAACGGGGGTCAGCCAGAGCGCGGGACCTTGCGCGGGACCTTGCAGGATCCTGCAGAGCCAGGGGTGCACTGACCCCGGCCTGCGTGCAGGATCCTGCAGAGGATCCTGCAGGATTCAGCAGGCTCCTGCTGGGCCCGACTGACCCGGGTCACCCGGACTTGGCGCCTTCGCGGCCCCCGGAGAGCCGCGCACGAAAGGTCACTCTTGCCCAGGGTCGCCCTTCTCCGAGGCGGGAGCTGATCCACAACCACCGCCTGGGGGATCGACCCTCGCAGACCTCCGCGGGCGGTGGATATGCCCACACTCGGGCCCCTGGGGGGCCAGAACGTATCCACGTCCACGCCCGCTGGGTCCCCACGACGTCGGTTCCCAGACGGTGGATGTGGATAAATCCCCGCCTCGCACCGTCCGTGCAGCCGAACGGGTACGGAAAGGATGGAGGCGAAGACTGACAGCATATCCTTTTCATTCTGGACAGGACGCGCTGTCGGCGTCGCCGCGGGCGCTGTCCAGCGGAGACAGTCGGCTGCACGTAAAGAGTGACCCTTCGCCAGAGTGACCTTTGGTGTGGGCCCAGTGGGTCTTCCCGCTGGCCGAACGTGATGCGGTAGTTGCGTCCTGCGCGCCTGTGCTTGGCCCCCCGCGGCCCCCAAGAAGTCGCGCACCAAGGGTCACTCTTGCCCAGGACCACTTTGGCGTGTGGCCGAGTTGTCCAGTGGAGGCAGCAGCGTCGCCTGCCCAACGGCGGCCGCCGTCGGCTCTGGGCCACGCTTGCTGTCGTGCCAAGACGGGGCGCGAGGCTGAGCGGTGCTTTTGGGCGATTTCTCGTGGGCCGCTCTCCTTTTGGCGTCGTTCCGCAGCAACAGCGAGATGAGACGAGATGAGATGAGATGAGATGAGACCAGTCTCGAAGCGAGCCTGTGCATAAAATCAGGACCCCCGAGCCGCCTTCTCAGCCTTGCTGAGAACTTTGGGCCATGGGTTCCTTGGAATTCGATCCAAATACACCAGCCGAGCCTTGGCGATCGGGACGGGAGGGACCTCACGAAGACAGAGCGAGGGAGAGCGACAGTCAAACGAGAGCGGGGAGGCCCTGTCTGGCTCGAGCCCCGCACCGAGAGAGGAGGAGTGATGGGCCTGTTCACCACCACCACCACCACCATAAGTTGGAGGGGGAGGGGGTCCTCCTCCTCCTCCTCCTCCTCCTCCTCCTCCTCCTCCTCCTCTTCGTCCTCCTCCTCCTCGTCCTCCACCTCCTTCTCCCCTCCAACTGATGGTGGTGGTGGTGGTGGAAAACAGGCCCATCAAGGAGGACTTCCTGGAGACCTCGGAGCGTCCCTTCGCGGACCCGAACCACCCGATCACCTGCGCGACCCAGGCGGGGCACCACGTGCAGATCTTCCGGGAGCTGCAGGCCTCCCCAGGGGCGGCAGACTCTAGGCCTCCGAGATGGCGTCGGCGTAGATGGGGTCGGAGGATCGCGCCGCATCGCCGATGCATCGACGATGCGGCTCGATGCGGAGCCCGACTTTCTCCACGCTGGCGTCGCCGATGCATCGCCCAAGTCGACGATGCATCGCCGGCGTATCACCGATGCATCGCCAACACATCGCCGATGCATCGCCGATGCATCGGCGATGCGGCGCCATCCTCCGACCCCATCTACTCCGACCCCATCTGGGAGGCCTCTAAAGACGAGCACGCGCCTGCTCTTGCCGACGCCCGTCCTCCCTTCTTGCCGTCCCCAGGGTCCGTTTCGATTCGATCGGTTCGATTCGGTGTCGATGTTGGTCGGCACGATCAGATTCGGTTCCAACGTTCCGACGGTCCGGTGCGGGCCGAGGCTTGCATGGCGCTGCTGTGCAGCATGGCGCAGCCGATGCGATTCGATATCGGTTCCGTGCCGATGCAGCCAGATTCGATGCACATTTCGATTCGATTTGGTTTACTGATTCGATGCTGACTGATCTGGATCTTTTCCATTCCCTTCCCCTAACACTCAAGGCCCCTGGGCCTCCCAAGCGGGGTCCGAGTAGATGGGGTCGAAGGATCGATCCCTAATGCGAAATGTGGGGCTCCATTTTCTTCGCGCTGGCGTCGCCAATGCACCGCGGACGTCGCTCGGCGATGCATCGGCGATTCGGCGTGATCGTCTGACCCCATCTACTCAGAGCCCCCTCAGTAGGAGACCTCAGTACATCCCCTCGTGCACAGAGTGTGATCCTACCCCCCCTCTCACCGCAAAGATCAGCCCGAAGTAGGTGGCCGGCGCCCCCGACCTCCTCTCGTAGGGCAGCTGATTTCTCGACCCGGCTTCATGCAGTGATGGAGAGCGTATGATTATCCCATCGTAGTTTCTCCCCATTTCTTGAATGGCGCTTCCTCGTGTCGGCGATTGCCGCTGTCCTAGCCGCTGTCCTGGCCAAGAACTGTGCTCGCGCCCCTGAGCCGGCCACATGCTTCCCGTCTCGGCCTTGCGCTCTCGCCTCGGTATTTGCGGCATTTCTCGCTCAGAGTTGATGCTCTCGCCGATGGTTTGTCAACACAGTATCGTGAGCAAAGGTCGACTCCTGACTTGCACCAGTCTCCCGCACTTCTAATCGCATCAAGCCTAAAGAACCCCCTCCCCTCATCCGGTGAAAGTATAATGCATCCGGCACCCTGGACGCGTTACCTCGGCACCGGAGGAGCCCGCAGAGAGCGTTCGGGGCCAAGCTAAGCCTTGCTGAGCCCTGCTAGCTCCCGCTAAGCCCTGCTAAGCTATGATAAGCCTGGCTCGCCCCCCGCTGAGCCCTGCTGCGCCCTGCTAAGCCCATGCCAAGCTTTGCTAGCCCCTGCTGAGCGCCGCTGAGCGCTGCTGAGCGCCGCTGACCGCTGCTAGCCGCTGCTGAATTTTGTTGTTCGATTTACGCGAGGTGCTAAAGATATCGCTCTGCGAAAACGACCTCCTGAAAATATTCAATCTTGGTGCGGTGCTAACGATACCCCCGGGGGGATTATTAAAGGCTTGCCGGGGTTTAGTCGTAAGCTCGCCGCCCCCTGAGTCTTCTTCTGTGTCAGGTGGTTCCCGCCGCAACCTTTTTTTCTACACTTTGGTCTACGCTTGTGAGTGTGGTTTCTCGCCCTGTCTGCGCCACAGACTTAGCTCGTCTGCGAACCCAGGCCCTAGAGATTCGAGACAATGATTGAGCAGTCTTCACTAGCATGTCTTCTAGATCGAGGTACTGTCCGACATTCGGGATGTTTCTGTAGTCCCAGTGCAGGCCGAATTCTGGATTCGCTCTTTCTGCTCCACTGATCATCCTCACTTTCCATTTCGCCTCGTCCTCCACCTCCCTCCCTGTCCTCCTGTCCTTCTCTCAGCATCCTCCTCCCCCCCCATTCTGGCACGGCGATGTTCGACCGTGGAAGTCCTGTCTTCACCCAGATACCGCCCGACTCGCCCGCGCGCTTTCTCGCCCCGTTTGGCTCTGTTCAGACAGTGTATACAAGACAACGGGCTCATGCGTTTCAAGTATGCTGTCAACCGGACGACCCTGCAACAGATGCGTCGCAAAGGGTACCGAGGACGCCTGCGGCGAAGCACCGCCACCCGCCGCCTTTAGGAAACGCCTATGCAGTGGAAAAGTATTCTCCGTGGAAGCGAAGGAGGGAGCGCCTGTGGGAGGAAGAGAGGAGGAGGAGGAGGAGGAGGAGGAGAAGGAGGATGAAAAGGCTGCCTCTTGGGGCCTCCTAGGGGCCTCGCCTCTTGGCGGCCTCTGGGGGCTCCTAGTCTTCGGATGCTGGCTTGGCGGCCCCTCTGGGCCGTCGGGGGGCCCTCTTCGGGCGCTTTGAGACCGTCTTGGAGGTCGGTGGGGCCGTCTTGGGGCTCTCTTGGGGGCCCTCTCGTGCGGTCCTGGGGCCCTCTCGGGCCGGCTTGGGGGCTTCTGGCGCCCACCTTGGGGCTATAGCTTGGAGGCTTCTGGGGCCGTCTTCGGATGTCGGAGGCCCGACATGGCGTGTGGACGGGAACACTGCTGGAAGACCCATGGGAGGTTACCATTTTTGGCCTCCTTGAGGTCCTCTTGACGGCCTCTCGGGGCGTCTTGGGAGCCCCTCGGGCCGCCTGGAGGGCATCTTGGGCAACCTTATCACTTAGAAGGAGAAGTCGTAACATGGTTTCCGCAGGTGGACCTGCGGAAGGATCATTCGCACGCATCCATTCGAATCATTGTGAACAACAGTTGGTGAGGCTCTGGGTGGGGATGGAGATAGCATCGATGCCCCCATGCAGAGAGCCAAGGGCAGCAAGCCAGGCTCAGACCGTCTTCTGTGCCTGTCCTTGCTGTCGGGTGTCTTCCTGATCTTCTGTGTGTTTGAATTCTATTCTTGAAGGCCGCAAAGGAGGACTGCTTGCATTTTTCCAGTTTTTCTGGTGGGCCTGCTGGATCCTCCGAGACCCCATCGGGAATTCTTCTCCCTAACGGGCCACAGATCCGGTACGCCAACAACCTATGTGAACAGCTCACACGGGCGGCGGATCTACTAAACGTGCGCGGGTCGTGGACCAGTGGCCTCTTGAAGGTTTCTGTCAAAGGCTTCTAGAAGGCCTCTTGGTGGCTCGTTGGGGCCTCTTGTGGCTCTTGGGCTTCTTGGGGCCTCTTGGGGGCGTCTCGGGGGCCTCTCGGGGGGCTCTTGGGGGCATCTTGGGTGGAGGGCTCCAATGTCAGTTCGAGTTTCCTCTTGGGCCCCTGTCGAGGCTGCCTTCGGGGCCTCTTGGGCCCCTCTTGGGGGCTATCGGGCTGTCTTCGGGTGATCATGGGAGTCTCGTGGGCCGGCCTCCACGCCCTCAAGGAAGAAAAGGCAATCGTGCCAACATTGCAGCAACACCGTGTCGGATTTGATGGTTGTGGTTTCTGGGGCCAGCCCCGAGGGCTTCCGAGACAGCCCCGCAGACGCCCCGAGGGCTCCCGAGACGGCCCCAGAGGCCCCCAAGAGGGCTCCAGGGCGGGCCACAGGGACCATCGTAGGGCATGCTGGGGATGCACGGCCCCGGCTCCGCTCCCGAGGCCTCTGGCGAAGACGCGCGACGATCCTAGGAACTCCTGGGTGTGGGCCCCGACACAGTTCCCTCAAGACTCAACAATCAAGGGATCGAAAGAGGCTTGAAGACGATCCACTCAGTGCCTACGCGGAACGGCGGCGGACGTCCAGGCATGGCATCGAACCCACTGCCCGAATCACGAAAGGACATTAGCCCAGAGCGACCCCGCTGCCAACATGATCGAATAAACCGGAGTGTGCCGATCGCGCTGCCCGTTCATCCCTCTCCCCTTCCACCCCTTTCTCCGCTTCCATTTATAATATTCCAAACTACTTTAGCCTTGATCGCCAGAGAGAATTTTGAGCACCAGAAAAGTGCTAACATTCGATGGTTCTCACGTGTCGGGCCCTGTCAGACACTGTTTCGACACTGTGTCGAAACTTTTCCGGGTGCTCGAACTTATTTCTGGGATGTGGCCCTTGAGTACGATGGGAGCAACATAAGCTTCCATTTCCTTTTTTGATCACGCGCCGGTTGCCACTGTCGGTGCGTGACCCTGGGCGGCCCAGGGATGAACCAGGGAAACAAGGACTGTGGCACAAAGTCAGTTGGCAATGAAGTATCTGATGGTCCCGTGCGGATGGGGCTGCGCCCTGCCTCAATCCGTTGCAGCGCGTGCCTGCACACGGCCTCGGGACATGCAAACGAATGTGGCAGACTGCAGACGTCGTCTCGGACATCTCGGCAGCCCATCCGTGACAGTTGTCGCATCGAGAGTTGGTGCGCTTGGCATGGGGTGTTGTATCCAGCACAGGACGCGCGATGCAGTTGCAACACGCGCGGACGACGCGTTGCAACTGTACTGCAGACGGGCAATCGTATTGCAAATGTATTGCGCCAAGTCGTTGCATTGAGTTGTGTTGCGACAGTCGCAGTGTACCTAAAAATCGAGCAGTACCTCTGCGCCTCGGAACGCACTGCGCGCCCCAGGTCCAGTGCAGCCCCCCAGCAGTCTTGCAGGTGCTGCACTGCTGCGCTGGTCGATGGTGGCGTGACCATCCGGGCGCGACCCGATCGCCTCGAGAGTTTGCGAGCCGGGGACGCGGGGTGCCCAGGAGCGTCTCCCGAGCCCGACGTTGGAATCGGGACAAACCCACTCGCAGCGAACTGGCGGACCTTGGCACCTGGAGTTCGCACGAAGATTCAAGACTCCTTGGCAATACATAAAAAAGTTCGGGGTGTGAACTGCCAGTGGAAGCCACAGCATGCGAAGGCATCATTGTAGCGAACCAGGTTCCAGGTCCAACATCACCAGCCCCTTCTACCTGGACGCCCTTTGGGGCTGCCCTCTCTTCTAGAGGGGGGGGGCAGGAGGCGGGGAGCAGTGCAGGTGTAGGCATGCGCATTCTGTCTCCGCAGAACAAGTGGCAGCGCTACGATGCTTACGCGCGCGTCTGCATGTCACTCGGGGCTGGCCAGACGTTGATGAGCCTCTCTTACTGGATGATCTCTGTGTGCTTCATCCATTACGAGAACTGGTCCCCGATCACTTGCGTGGCTTTGTGCCTCATCTTTCAGCTCACGGCCATGGCCATCCTGAAGTTGGACGTCGGAAAGGTCGATTTCGGGGCGCTGTGTCTGATCCAGTCTGCAGGCTTCGCCTCTGTCTCCCTCGCGGTCTACATTCTGTGGACGGCGAGACGGCTGCCCTACGTCATCACTGCGAGCGGGGAGCAGGAGTTCCAGTCGTCCGACGCCGCGCACAACATGGGCGACCTGGACCACACGCAGCTGCACAGGTCAGGGGCAACGCCCGTCCGCGGCGAGCCCCGGTGGGAAGCGAGAAGGGGCGGGCCTTCTCAGAAGGCTCGGAAGTCCCTCGGCCTTATGAGGAGTTTCCCCAGCCTTCCACGAAGACTAAGAAAACCGCGTTGTAGGCACGAGGGCTTCTCAGAAGTCCCTCCGCCTTCTGAGAAGGCCTTCTTCTTCTTCTTCTTCTTCTTCTTCTCGCTTCCACCCTCGCGCTCCGCCGAGTTAGGGGGGTGCAGAGAGGCTCCAGCGGGGGGACGCTTCGACACCCAGCCGCCAACGGAACGCCGACAGGGGCCCGATCGCCCGCTTCCTCCCAAGGACGTGCAGCTTCGCGAGCGGGGGCCTATCGCCGATGCCACGGCGGGGTATCGGCGGCTCCTGCTCGATGTTTCCCCCCCGCCCGAGCCAGTCCCCTCCTGACGTTTCCCCTCCACAGGGAGGGCCCGATCTGCATGTTTCTGATGGCCGTCTGGCTGCAGGCGCTCCTGTTCACGGCGTCGCCGCAGGGCGAGAGCGGGCTGCCGAGGCGCTTCCGCACCGTGCTGTTCCTGGACGTGTTCGCCTCGGCGGATGTCATTTCGGGGCACGCGTCGCGAAGGAGCAGGTTCCACTTCGGGCGCGGCGGTTCCAACGCAGACACGCTCGGTACAGGCCTCTGCTCCACCACGATGGAGTCGGCCGGTATGCTCGAGCGCGTGATGCATGCCGACGAAGCCCTGAAGAAGGCCGAGGCAGCGTTGCGGCGTTGGCGGGAGGTCCCCAATCAGGACACACCAGAGGCGCGCGTTATAGAAGCGCGCATCGAAAGGCTATGGACGACGTGCATGGCGGCGCGGCGGGCATTGTTTCAAGAGGCCTCGGCCATGGCGAAAGCGACGGGGGACAGCGAGATCGTAGCGGGAGCGAAGAACCTGAAACCAGACATGCGCGCTTGGCACGACCTCTCCGCTGCAGAGCAGCGCGACAGCGCCTACGCATTCGCGCTGCTGGGACCCTTCGAGCACCACGTGTCTCGGCAGAGGTACTTTTACGATCTGGAGAACGAGGAACCCTCCCTCTGCTTTCCCCCTACAGTCAACCCGCATAGTAAGGATGAGCAGCTTTCCAAGGGTACCCTGGCATTCTTCCCCTTCATCAGACCATCCTTGGCCGCGTTCGCTGGCTGCGGCCCGCTTGCAAAGTGTCGACATGGCCTTCCAAAGTCCGTGCATCCTTATCGTGCGTCCTTATTGCACGGGTTGACTTTACATCCGATGCCTTGATTGCTTTGATACGGGACCCCAGACGGCCCGGGGCCCTGCGAGAGCCCCCTGGGGCCGACAACGGCAAAAACCGTCCAGCCGAAATTGGTACGGTCGGACGGAAGTATAAGATCGAGGTCGGTTATGGAAGGGTACCCTGATGCTTTTCGTCGTGTTTGTTGGATGCTCATGTGCATCCAGGGGGTACCCCCTAGAATGTTCTTCAGTCTGGCCGGCGGAGGGCGCATGTTTTTGAAGGACGCTCTTCTGTCTTAGGCCCGGCCGTATCAGCATGCTGCCAATGTCAGGAGGAAAAGAAAGACACAGACACAATTCATCGTCGTCGGCTCCCAGGAAGCTATGGGAAAATATGGGAAGTTGGGGGGAAGACGAAAACCCAGAAGCTACTGAAACATATGGGGAATCCTGTTGTTTCTCTTCGCCAGAGGAGTTCACGTGGCAGAATTCCGAGGGCCGCGGGGAGCTCCCGCTGAGCGAGGCCGCGGCCCTCACGAGCGAGGCGGAGAGGGCCGTGCAGGCGGCCGTCAAGGGGCACCGGCAGGGCGCGGCGGAGCAGGAGGCGGAGGAGCAGGAGGAGGAGGAGGAGCGGCTCCTCTTCACCACCCACCAGCCCACCCCAGCCCAACCCGAAGGCCCCGATTTGCCCTTCATTTCCAGTGGAAGGGGGTGGGGTCGGGGAACATTGCAAAAACACGTATGGAACCCGTGCCCCCCCCCCCCAACCCGAGGTTCGGGTCTTCGGGTTGGGTTGGGGTGGTCTGGTAGGTAGTCACCTCTAGGGGAACGAACAATGACGTAAACATCATAACTCGGAGGTCCGCGCGGATTTCTCGGATCGGCGCTGGGGCCCCCAGGCGGAGCCTCCAGCGCCGCCCCTGGCGCGCTCCGCGCGCCGGGGAGGGGGGTCCAGCGCGGGTCCAGGAAATCCGCGCGGGGCACCAACAGTGCATGACGTTTTTGTATTATTCTATCGTCGTGGTCCATTTCGTTCCTAGTACGACCCCATGAGTTTGATCACCCTCCCCCCAGCGGGTAGTGCCGCTGGGGTGGGGTGGGGATGACTGCGTCCACTGGAGGACTCTGATGCCACCAGCCTGAGAAAAGGAGCGGCCGGCCCGCAAGCCCACGCTGAGCGATTGGAGAAAACGGGGTCGATTGTGCACACATTCGCGCGTAAGCTTTTCGTGGCTGGAGGATGTATCTCGGGGAGCAGAGATGACGTCAGCGTTGACCTTCGGACCTCCAGCAGTTTCTGTTGACGCCAGCAGTCATCACCCGCTCCCACGGCATGTGTTGCAGCATTGCAGCATCATCCTGCCCTTACTCAGAGCGTGAATTGCCTACCCCGCTTTCGCTTCCAGGCAAAACCAAGCCATACCACGCGCCTCCTCGTCAAGCGGCCTGACCAGTACAGGCCGTAGTTCGGCATCGTTTGGTATCTCTTGGAAGCGAGGGTGGTCAAAAGCGAGGCAGGTTTGTTTTCCCCCTACTTCCTCTGCCCCTCGTCCTGCCTCTCCTCCCCCCCGTGTGATTTTGGCCGCGGGACCCTTTTTTTTACATTGCCGAGGCTCGCCGTGGCCAGAAGGGCCCCTTCCCCTGCATCGGCATTATTTGGCATCCCTCCCTCCTGCAGCACGATGACTGTACTGTGAGGTCGCGCGTGGGCGGGCCGCGAAAACCTCTCCTCCTTCTCCCCCTCCCCCTCCTCCTCCTCCTCCTCCTCCTCCTCCTCCTCCTCCTCCTCCTCCTCCTCCTCCTCCTCCTCCTCCTCCTCCTCCTCCTCCTCCTCCCCCTCCTCCTCCTCCTCCTCCGCGGCGTAGGGTCGCTATGTCTTCCAGCGTGAGACCCGCGTCTGTTTGTCGCGCGCCTGGTCCGAGGTCTCCGACGCTGTGCCCTGCTGCGGCCGCGGCGTCCTTCTCCTCGGGCTCCCGGGGCTCTGGCTGGGCCGGCCCAGGGGCCATCAGAGATGAATCTGGGGCGCAAGACTGCCCTTGGAGAGGTGGTGGGGAGCCCCGGGGCTGCGGACTGGGTCCATGCCCGCCGCCGCCCTCCCCCCCCCCCCCCCCACACCGGGTCCTCGGGTGCTTCGCCACTTCTGTGACCAGTTCGAAGCCTATCCCTATCCCGGATGCTTGGCGTCACCTTACCCAGATGCGGATCTGACGGACTCCCTCGGCCGTAGACGGCACATCCCTAAGGGTGCCATTGCTTTTGGCTTGCCCATCTTCGGGATAGGGAGAAGCTCGAGCCTGCTTCGTCTGGGCTCTCGGGGCCCTCCCTGGACTCCAGAGTTGCCAGAGTTGTCAAGAGACGGCTCGGGATGACGAGCTGAATCTCGGGAGGGCCCCCTCGGTCCAGGAGCCGTCTTTCCCCTGTGCCGGTCCGCAGTTACCCCTCTTGCCCCGCCCTCCGTGGACGACGCGTGTGCACCGTGCCGCGTTGCGCCCCGGCGACGATACAGGGTGTGGTTACGCCGATGTGTGGTTTGCGTTCGGCGCCGTTTCTGGGCCTGGGGGGCACGACACGGTCCTCATCGAGCCTCCTCGGGGCGCGGCGGAGAGCTCCGTCGAGGTCCTCGCCAGCCCCCCAGGGTGTCGCCCAGTGTGCCGATTGCAGACCACACACCGTCTGCAAACCTCACCCGTCGGAGTCGCCGGGTCGCCGATCCTGGGCCCATGAATGGTACGGTGCACAGTCTCACAGTCTTTCGGCTCCTTGGAGAGCCGAGCTATTGCCCCGCTACGAAAGTCATCTTGTCGCCGCGCCGTTTGTTCCGCCGCGCGGCCTTGCGCCTTGGGGAGGGCGCCGGGGCCACCAGGGCGAGCTCCGCCTCGGACGCAGGGCTTGCCATGGGGTGTGCCGTGGTGCCGGCTGCGTCTGCTCGGGCGCATTCGGCCCCAATGGCTCGGCGGCATTTGCCCACTTCGGGATCCAATTTCTCCCCGCATGAAAATGACAAGAGCATAACACCGCTTTGGCCGGACATGTCGTGCGCACCCAGGATAGCACGTTTTCGGAGTGGGGATGTGTTACAGCCAAGACGCTGAGACCTGGACCGTTCTGGGTTCGGAAGGGGCTCGTTGTTCCTCAGGTCATGCGTTGGTTGTTCTTCTAGCCCTCCTCGTGCACCCAGGCGCTGCGGGTGCCAAGAAAGGAGCTTCGTTCCTTGTTTAGCGTCCCCTGCCTGTGCAACACCCGCATAGTAAGGACGAGCAGCTTTCCAAGGTGACCCTCGCATCCTTCCCCTTCATCGGACCAGCCTTGGCCGCTTTCGCTGGCCGCGCTCCGCGCGCGAAGTGTCGGCATGGCCTTCCAAGGCCCGTGCATCCTCGTCGTGCGCGTCCTTCTTATCGGCACGCACGACATGGGTACAGAAAGAATGGGTACAATGCCCAACAGCAGTTCTTGTTCATTTTGAACAGGACTCCCTGTCCGCGCCGCCGCGGCCTGTCTCCACTTGAGACAGAAGGCCGCCTGCCCAACAGCCACCGCTGTTGGTTTCGGACAACACTTGTTGCTGGGCACTGTGCCCGGGGGGAGGGGGAGGGGGAGGGGGAGGAGGAGGGAGGAGGAGAGGGGAGGAGGGGGGGAGGGGAGGGGAGGGGAGGAGGGAGGAGGAGGAGGAGGAGAGGAGGAGGAGGAGAGGAGGAGGAGGAGGAGGAGGAGGATTTGGACCCCGTTCCGGGCGTCCAAATCTCAGACGGGTTCGCTTTGCCGCTGGGGAGCGGGGCCCGCAGCGGGGCTCCAGACGTGGTGCGCTGCACGCGCGCGCCCTTTCTCCTGCCCTTCGCCGGCCGGGCCGGGCGGGCGGGAGGCCCCCGCGGGAGCGCCGCTTGGGCCCCCCCGGCTGCGGGGCCGTGGGGTCGTCGACGACGGCGACGACGACGACGACGACGACGACGGCCACGGCCACGGCCACGGCCACGGCCACGGCCACGACGGCGATACCATATATATATATATATATATATATATATATATATATATATATATATGCGCCTCTGCGGTAGGAGCCGCCCGACGAGAGCGGCGGGGAGGCCCGCGGCAGCAGGCGGAGGGGCGGCACGCGCCCGCCCGCGTCGGGCGTGCGGAGCGTCATCGCGGAGGCCGCGAAGAGGCGGGGCAGTCTGCCCTGGAAGGCGCTGCGGAGCACCACCCTGGCGCTCGGAGAAGAGTCGGCCACGTGCAGAGGGGGTAATTCTTAACGGGCGAAGAACAGTATAATATAAACTTGTTCGCTGTCGGGGGCGCCTGTCCCAGGGCGGCTGGAAAGGTTATACCCTTACGGTGGCACCGTATGGGTATAAACTTTCCAGCCGCCCAGGGGCAGGTGTCCCCGACGGGGGAAAGTGTATTTTCTACCGTTCTTCGCTAGCTGACATTCGGGGGATGGGAGGGAAGGCTACTAAGAGGCACCCCCGCTTCTGAGTAGGCGTGGGCCCTGTCTATGGACGCCAGGCGGGCGCCTTCTACGAAGCGGTCTCCTGTTAAGATGCCTTCCTTCCCCCCTCCCCCTTAACCCCCATCTGCGCGCCGCCACAAGAAGATGCATCTGCAAACACGGCCTTTCGGAGGTTCGCGCCGATCCGAGAAGTCCGCGCGGACCACCGACATATTGTGCTTATACAGTGTTTGTGGTTTCTCTAGGCGCTGCAGTTCGCGTGGGTGCTCACGGGCGTCATGCTTGGGCTGGAGATGATGGGCCTCTTTTCCACCAACACCACAAGTTGGAGGGGGGAAGGAGGAGGAGGGGGAACACGGAGAGGAGGAGGAGGCGGAGGAGGAGAAGGAGCAGGAGGATGACCCCCTCCCCCTCCAACTGATGGTGGTGGTGGAAAACGAGCCCATCAGGAGAACGAGGGCGTCTGGAAGCCGACCTACCGACTGAGCTTCCACGCGGAGAGGCCCCACCTCCACGACGAGGCCACGCCCCACTCGAGCGCCACCGACGGGCACAGCGAGAGCGGCGAGGACCACGGTGATCCTCTTCCTCCTCCTCCTCCTCCTCCTCCTCCTCCTCCTCCTCCGTAGCCATTTTGGCTCAAGCCATTCGGCAGGAGCACGGGCGGCGGCCACCAGAAAGCGGTCCTCCATTCGTTGGGGGTGCGGGGTTGGGTGGAACGGCCCTTCGGGGTGGACGTCTCTGCCCTTCCCTCGCCGCTGCTGGTCGGGCGAGGCTCGACGGCGATGGAGGCGTTGCTGGCGCGGTCCCCCACAGCAGCCAGCGCCTTCGGTGCCGTCGCGGCGGTTCTCGCTACGGAGTGCGTGGGCAAGCAGCTGGCCACGCTCGTCACGGCGGCGGCGCGGGGCGCAGCGCAGGGCGCTGCTGCCGGGGCGGTTGCCTGCGATGGCAGCTCCGGAGGCGGCAGGCTCCTGACCCACATGGAGGAGGTGCTTGCAGCAATTGGCAAAGCGACGGGGGGAACCAAGCCCTCCCTCTCGACTGCCAAGTCCACCCTGCGGCAGGCGGGGCCGAATGGATCGACCCTGGCAGCGCGCGTGGGGAGGCTAAGCAAGGCTCGTAACGTGGAAGGCCATCCAGACGTGCAGCTGGTGGACGACATCGTGGCCTTCTTCGCGTCACTGGACCAGTGTGGCGTCACTGACCCGTTCACGACGGAGGAGAAGGCGAAGTTCAACAAGGACGCGCTCGGGAAGGGGGTTGGCCAGGGCATTGGCGGCTGCAGCCAGGATGGCAAGAGTGGCCTGTCGATCAAGCTCAAGAGCCAGGACACCGAGACAGAGGCGACGCGCAAGCTTGCCGCCAAGGTGGCGGACCTGGAGGCGCAGCTAGTGCAGGTGAAGGCTGAGGCCAAGTCCGTGGCGGAGCAGGCCGTCCAGCAGCAGCGCGACGAGGTGACGTTGCGCATGGCTGAGGCGGTGAGCGCGGCGGAGGCCCAGCAGGCGTTCCTCGAAGGCGAGATCGCGAATATCAAGGAGGAGCGCAGCGAGTTGGTAGAGACCATGAGCGTGAGGATCAACACTGAGCGCGAGGTGAAGGAAGCGCTCAAGCTGAAGATCCAGCTGAACGAGAAGGAGCTCAAGGAGTTCGAGGCCGTGAAGGGAGACAAGGAGGAGCTCGTGTCGGCGCTGCAGGGTGCCATGGAGCTCGTCAGTTCCCTTCGGGCCGACGTCGTGGCGGCACGGGCTCAGGCGTACAACCCGTTCAAGCAGAACAGGGGCACGCCTGACGGAAAGCCCGCGCCCTGACACAGCCAGCCGAGGCTCTGTATCCCAGCGCCTGGGTAGACACGGTGGCCAGCCCTTGTGGGGCGCGCTGGGCCCGATGCGGCTGTCCACGGGGCAGGCATCCCAGCGCCTGGTGGCCACCGCGCAGTATGAGCCGCGCACTGGGCATTTTGCAGCGTGCACGGTATCTTCCCAACAGCCTAGGAAGGTCGACGCCGCGTCGGGTCTGTTGGCACAAAATTCTCTTACGGTTGATGCCGAGCTGTCTATCGACGGCCGAATGTTGCTCGGCGTTGCGAGCGCGCAGGCGCCATGCGCGGCCTGTGTTCGACTGGCGTGAGCCCCATCCTCTTCGGAGTTTCAGTATTCAGTATCCTCCTCCTCCTCCTCCTCCCCCTCCCTCCTCCTCCTCCTCCTCCAGGACCTGGGATCGGAGGCCTCGCACCCCCCTGCTGGGCTGGAGGGCGCCGCCCCTTCGGCTCGACGCTGCGTGCGCCGCGGCCGCGCGTCGGGGGGGCGGGCGCCCCCGCGCCCCGGCCCGCCTCCCCCGCGCTGCCGAGGAGGTGTTGCGCCCCGCCCGGAGACTGTTTTTGTTGGGGGGGGGTCGGGCGATAGCCCGGGTTGTCGGGGTTGTCGGGGTTGCCCCCCAGGGGCCCCTCTCCCCCACCCCCGGGGGTGGGGGAGAGGGGCCCCTCTCCCCCACCCCCGGGGGTCGGCGGTAGCCCGGGTTGTGGGGGTTGCCCCACCCCCGGGGGGGGGCAACCCCCAGGGGTGGGGGAGAGGGGCCCCTCTCCCCCCACCCCCGGGATCTCCTAACCTTGCCGGTTGTGCAGGTCCGCGGGAGGGAGGGCGCGGGCAGATTCGGGGCTGCCCACAGCGCGAGGGTTAGGTCACAGGTCGGGCCCCTCCTCCCCCCCCCCGGTATAACCCGGGCTATCGCCGATTCCCAAAAACCGGTCTCTTGGACGCACCCGCGGGGCAGCGTCAGCGGGGAGGGATTGTCTCCGGGGGGGGATGCGTCGACCGCAGTCGCCCGCTGACCGCCGACAGGGGCCTGATAGCGCCCACGCCGCCCAGGAGCGTGCGGTTTGTCGATCGGAAGCCTGCCGCCGATCCATCGGCAAGATGTCGCCGAGTCCAGTTCGATAGCTCCCCTCCTCGGAGCTGCTCTGAGCCGATTCCCCCGTGGAGTTGCCCCTCAGCAGATGGCGGGTTGGGCGTAGACCCCTGAGGTCCCAGGACCGGGTCATTGGACCGCATGTTGTTCCAAGTGGGGCTCACGACGTGCCGCCAACCCCAAGAAAGAGGGAGCTCGCGACGATTCTCAAGTGACTTGCCAGCTGGAAGCGTCGCAATGAGGCTGTGTGGCCAGTGTGGAGCTGAATTCTGGCGAAGTTTCACCATCTTGGAGACACTATTGAGCACTTGGTCCCAATTACCTTCGCGTCTCTTGGGGCTCTCTTGGGGTCTTGATGGGCCCTCTTTGCTCTGGTCCTTTTAGCTCTTGGGGCCATCTTGGCGCCCTTGGGGTGTCTTGGGGCCGTGTTGGATGATCGAATCGCCTGGGGGATGGGTATTGGGGCCGTCTTCGAGCTCTCTTAGGCCGTCTTGGAGTTGTCTTTGGGCAATGTTGGAGGTCAGCTTGGCTGTATTGGGGTTTGCTCGGGACTTGCTCGGCCGTATCTGGGGCCTACCTTGGGGCCAGCTTAAGCCAAAAGTTGAAAATGCGACGGATGAGAGTCAGCAGGGGGAAAAACACACAGGCACAATTAATCGTCGATCCCCAGGGAAATATGGAAAATATGGGAAGTGGTGGGGGCTGACGAAACTCAAAAAACAAATGAAGGTATGGAGCATAGTTGTATTTGTGTGTATTTACTTGTGTGTCCCTGGGCCCCCTCAGAGTGAAACCCAGGCGATTTGGACGATGTTTGGCCCTCGAGGCCCCTCGCGGCGCCGTCTTGGTGCCCCTGGCTGCTTTCGGGGGATCATCTTGACGTCGTGTCAGGGCCACTGGGACCGGTATCGTTTAGCCAATCCCCATTCCCATCCCCATCCCCTTCGAGACCCCCACCAAATTTCCACCCCAGTTGGGGATACACCCCTCGAAACCCGAAGCGAACGGCCTACATCCCCATCTAGGGGGGTAGATCGGCCAGTGGGGCCAAGGCCACTCCTCTGGGGATGGGGATCGGCTAAACGATACTCAAACACCAGAGCCAGCCATGGCAATCCTGATTGTCTTGGGCCATCTTTGGCAGTCTCGAGCCATCCGGGGCCTCGCGAGCCTGCTGGGCCGTGCTGGAACTCAAGCGGCAGTGCGTGGATGAGCACGTCGCCCTGTACCCCTCTCGCCAGATTTTGAACCTCTGGGGGGGAAGGGGGGACGCCCAAAGCATTTAACACGCGCCTTCTCAACCCCTTCAGGCTGTCTGCTTCCTGCCCAGAAGCTGTCAGCGGCTTCACCTGTCAGTGGAGCACACACCTTGGAGCTGGGCAGCTCTTGCAGTCTTCCCGATTCGCCCCTGCGGCCTCTTGATTCTCACAGCGGTCGAGGCCGCGGCAGGGGCAGCTCCGTGGCCGCGCTCCTCCTCCCTCCCGAAGCACACCTCGGGGCTGGGCGGCTGCCCGGGAGGCCCTCTTGCGCCGCGAGAGCCGCCGCACGCAGCCCCCGCAGGAGCCGGCGCCGGAGCCGACGGAGCCCCAGGCCGACGGCGCGGGCTCCGCGGCGGAGGGCTCCGGCGAGCCGCCGTCCCGCCGCCTGTCCGCACCGCGGGCGCGGGCACGGCGAGTCAGCGAGCGCTGGCGCGCGGGGGGGGCCGCCGGCCGCCAGCGCCCAGCCCGGCCTGATGCCCGCCTCGCTCCCGCTCCCCCGCCCCGATCTCCTCGGCGTCGCTCGGACGTGTGCATTTGTTCTCGGCGAGGGCCATCGGCGAGGAGCATCTTTGATCATGCAGCGAAGAAAAGCACACGCACGAAGTCGAAGCATGCACGGGGGATGGGCGTCCGAGCGATGGCGAGTCTGGGCCTCCTAGAGGGGGCCGGAGCAGATGGGGCCCGAGGGTCGCGCCGCATCGCCGATGCCTCGCCGTTGCGGCTCGATGTGGAGCCTGTTTTGCTGCACGTCGACGTCACCAATGCATCGCCCACTTCGAAAATGCATCGCCGATGCATCGCTGATGTATCGGCGATGCGGCGCCATCCTCTGACCCCATATACTCGGATCCCATCTATGAGGCCTCGTCCTGAGGGCTTGGCGGCCATGCCTCGAGGTACAGATCCAAGCAGGTCGAGGCACATTTGGGCAAATCGGGAGAGATCCACTGAGACCTCCAGGGGAGCCTGGAGCAGATCGTGGACGCTGCGGCGCGAGTCGAGGGGCAGCAGAAGTCGTGAAGCCCTCAACGACTCTTCTCACCTCCCCCGCTCTCTCGAAGGGGGGGGCCCAGGACCAGCTGCGGCGCCCGATGCCTCGTCCAGAATCGCCAGATCTGAGAGATCCCCGATTCGTCGGGGCACAAGAGACGGGGGTCAATGCAAACGGGGGTCAGCCAGAGCGCCAGATCTTGCAGGATCCTGCAGAGCCAGGGTTGCGTGGACCCCAGCTTGGGTGCAGGATCCCGCAAGATCCTGCTGCATGGGCTCACGGACCCTGGTCTGGATCTGACCCAGGCCAGTAGATCTCGGAATCTGTCTCGGTCCCGGTCCGATTTTGTCCTGGTACTGGCCTCGTCTTAGCGGGCGTTGGCAGAATTGGGTTAGGTGGGATTTGGTTTGGTGCTGTGTACTGGCGGACGCCCCCCCCGCCCCGTTCCACTCACCGGAACTGCCGTCACCCGAAACAAAAATCACCAGCTACGACAGACCTGGTCTTGTGATTCTGGTCAACTCAGGGGCTCCTTGGCCCTAATACTGGCCGGGTCCTCTTATACCCGGTGTCCTGGCTATACCCGATCGTCAGGGGCAACGATAGGGGCGGGGTAGGCATAGGGGGGCACAGGGGGGGATGCATCGACCCCCAATCGCCCATTGATCGCCGATAAGGGCCCGATGGCCCCAACCTTCCCAGGAACATGCGGATTCACTGTCGGGGGCCTGTCGCCGATCCATCGGCGACGTATCGCCGATTCCAGGCCGATGCGTCCCCCCCTATGTCAAGCAGTGGCGAAGCGGCCCGGCTCGCCTATAGCCCCACCAAACCATGTTCTAAGAACCTTTTGTGGTTCCCACGAAATGTTCTTAGAACATTTCTGGCCGGGACAGTCTTGTTTTAACGCATCGGGTGTATGTTCTAAGAACATTCATTGATTTTGTTGTAAGAACTTCTTGGGGTTCTAAGAACATGTCGTGGTATGACTACAGGAATGCCAGCACGGTCGGTCCCTGCTCAACTACGCCTGTCCCCCCCTGCCGTTGCCCCTCAGTCTTGGGGGGGCCGGGCCGGGCGGGCGCGGAGCGCTCCCGTGAAGAAGGCGGGCCCGTCCCTCTGCAGGGGGACCATCCCCAGGTAGACCAGACATACTCCGGGGACGATCTTGTTGAGGATTTGCTGACCTTGCTTGAGTATATTTCTGGAGTGCTTATAAGGTGTCCTCGAAAAAATCCCCCTGGAGGGGGGCAGGCCCTGTAGGGGGGGCATCCCCAAATAGACAAGAAATGCTCCGGGGACGATCTGTTGAGGATTTGCTGGCCTTGCTTGAGTATCTATTCCTGGAGTGTTTGCAAGGTGTCCTCGAAAAATCCCCCTGTGGGGGGGGGGCGGGCCCGACTGGACGCTCCCGGCGCGCCGCGCCGCGCCCCTTCGGCGCCGCCCCCCCCAAGGCACGCCCGCGCCGTGGACGCCACCTGGCCGGCGGGCGCCTCGGCCTCCTGGCCGGAGGCCGTCGCGTCGCTGCAGGACGCCGGGGGGGGGCCGCGGGAGGGCCAGTGCCGGAGGCCTCGGGTCTCGGAGGAGGAAAATCAGAGCGTGAATTGCCTACCCCGCTTTCGCTTCCAGGAAAAGCCAAGGCATGCCACGCGCCTCCTCGTCAAGCGGCCTGACCAGTACAGGCCGCAGTTTGGTATCGCTTGGTATCTCTTGGAAGCGAGGGTGGTCAAAAGCGAGGTAGGTTTGTTTGCCCCCTAGAAAAGGGCACCCATGCCTTGACCCTCGCCTCGTTTTCCCTTGTTTTGGGGGGCCTCCGGGGAGGCCCTCGTCGCCGCTGCTGGGAGGGCTGGAGCTGGAGGCCAGGGTCTCGGAGGAGGAAGAAAGCACCCGTACTCCTTGACCTCGATTCGTCGGGGCTCAAGAGACGGGGGCCAATGCCGACGGGGCTCAAGAGACGCGTCGCTGCATGACCCCGGGGGGCCGGGGAGGGCTGGAGTCGGAGGCCGAGGTCTCGGAGGAGGAAAAAGGCACCCATATTCCTTGACCTCGAATCGTCGGGGCTCAAGAGACGGGGGCCAATGCCAAAACGGGGGTCCACCAGAGCGCCAGGTCTTGCAGGGTCCTGCGGAGCCAGGGCTGCATGGACCCCTCGTTTTCTTTCTTTGGGGGCCTCCTGGGAGCCCCTCGTCGCCACCGCTGGGAGGGCCAAGGTCTCGGAGGAGGAAAAAGGCACCCATACCCTTACCTCGAGTCGTCGGGGCTCAATACGCGGGGGGTCAATGCCAAAACGGGGGTCAGCCAGAGCGCCAGATCTTGCAGGATCCTGCGGAGCCAGGGCTGCATGGACCCCTCGTTTTCCCTTTTTGTGGGGCCTCCTGGGAGCCCCTCGTCGCCACCGCTGGGAGGGCTGGAGCTGGAAGCCAAGGTCTCGGAGGAGGAACAGGTACACATCCCTTTACCCTCGCCTCGTTTTCCCTTTTTTGAGGGCCTCTGGGGGGGCAATCGTCGCCACTGCTGGGAGGGCTGGAGCTGGAGGCCAGGGTCTCGGAGGAGGGAAAGGCACCCATACTATCAAGCAGTGGCGAAGCGTCCTGTCTGGCCTATAGCCCTACCAAACAGTGTTCTAATAACCTTTTGTGGCTTCCACGAGAGGTTCTTATAGTATGGATGGCGGAGTCTGTCTTGTTCTAGCACATCCGGCTTATGTTATAAGAACATTGTTTTGATTCTTAGAACATTTGTGGGTTATAAGAAGATTTCGTGGTAAGACTACAGGACTGCCGGGACGGTCGGTCCCTGCTCAACATACTTGTACCCTCTTCTCTGTTTCCCTTTTTGGGGCCTCCTGGGAGGCCCTCGTCGCCACTGCTGGGAGGGCTGGAGCTGGAAGCCAAGTTTCGGAGGAAGAAGAGCTACCCATACCTTTACCCTCTCCTCGTTTTCCCTTTTTGGGGACCTCCTGGGGGGCCCTCGTCGCCACTGCTGGGAGGGCTGGAGCTGGAAGCCAAGTTCTGGGAGGAGGAAAAGGTACCCATACCGCTACCTTTTGGGGCCTCCTGGGAGGCCCTCGTCGCCACCGTTGGATTCGCATCGAATTCCTGGTCAGAACGCACCCCTGGAGACGTCTGGGGAGTAGCGGTAACGTTACCTTTTGTTTTCCCCAAAGTTCGGTTCGTTTGCGCTCTCCTCTGGTCTTGGAGCTGTCATGATGGACCTGTTTTCCACCACCACCACCACAAGCTGAAGGGGGGGGCCTCCTCCTCCTCCACCTCCTCCTCCTCCTCCTCCACCTCCTCCTCCTCCTGCTTCTCGTCCTTGTCCTCCTCGTCCTCCTCCTTCCCCCTTCAACTTATAGTGGTGGTGGTGGTGGAGAACAGGCCCACCGGGGGCCGGGGGGGGCTGGAGCTTCAAGCAGTGGCGAAGCGTCCTAGCCCGCCTATAGGCCCACCAAAGAATGTGTTCTGCGAACCATTTGTGGTCTGCACGAAATGTTCTTAGGACATTTATGGCTGAGCCTGTCCTGTTTGAAAACATCGGGCTTATGTTCTAAGAACATTGCTTTTGATGTTGAAACATGTCTTGGTTCTAAGAAGATTTCGTGGTAGGCCTATAGGTTGAGCGGCCCCGACCTATCGCAAAAAGGCGATCTCTTTAGCACGCAAAAAAAATAAGAAATCAAAAATGAAACAATACCGATGCACAAATACAGAAATTGGCATATGAGAAAAAAGAAATACAATTGTGCAAATAAAGAAAATATGCTTTAAATAAAATCATGCATTTTAACCGAACAATATTCAACTCGTTTCAAACCATGAATGCTTCAATACGCGCGCGCCATGCCCGTGTGCGTAGATTTCGTCGCGCGACGAACAATTCTGACCTGGGCCGCCCGTCGACTAGTTCTTTAGGTTTTGGCTCTGACACTAGCGCCTTGGGCTTTGACCCTCAGGGGCCTTGCAGCAGGGGCCCTGCAGCTAGTGGCGTGCCCCCTCGCAGAACCTTACATTTCGGGGTTCATGAGTTCGTCGCCCCCCCCGACGTCGTTTCGCGAAAGCGCAAGGTGCGTGAACTTGAACTCCCTAAACAGTACAGATAAGTGTTGGTCTTGAAAATGGGTTTTTGCTTTTCTAGGGCCTGCGCCTTGAAAGCGAGCTTTGGGCCAATTCATGCGAACCCTGCCATTGGGGCCTTTGGAGAAGCTCCCTGCGGGGCCGCGAACCGCGCGAGGGGGTGCGCCAGAATGGGGCGGTGGCGCCGTGCGAACCCTCCCACTGGGGGCTTCAGTGGAATTCCAATGGGGCCAAGAACCGTGTGAGGGGCGCGCCAGGATGCCATGCGGCATGCGAAGCCTGCCGTGCGGATTTCGGTGGACACCACGAACCCTGTGAGGGGTGCGCCAAAATGGGGCGGTGGTGCCATGTGCCATGGGGCCATGCGAGCCCTGCAACTGGGGCCTTCGATGGACCGCCCTATGCAGCGAATCGGGCCGCGAGTCGTGCGAGGGGTGCGCCAGCATGGGGCGGTGGCGCCATGCGAACCATGCCACTGGGGCC